AGTGGATAATTTATCCCGAGTCTGTTTGGCCTGATGGGTCTCCAAGAATCTCTCTTTCTCTCTTCCTTTCTTTCCTTTTTCTAAGCTAACTTTCAATTTGCGGGCACGAAAGCGAGTACTGTGAATCTACATTCGCGGGGCGGCGGTGCCATCTTTGAAATCCATTTTCACGGATAAATGAAAACTTGCTGAACTTACATCTCGCGCCACTTTGCATACATCTGAAAAGTTTCGTGGAAAATTAAAATTTCCCCGCTAGCTCGGCTACCGCCACGAAATTTCAATTGGCTTGTCAGAAACGCGAGTCCCGGCACCTGGATTTTAATTAATGTGGCAAATCAAGATCGCGGATAGATCCTTTAGATAGATTTTAAATTGTCATACTGCGTTAGGTGATGTATATAAGCATATTATTATCCGTTATGAATTTTGTAGAAGATTTATGAAAACATTCCCGAAATTAATTACTACATTAAATCGCGTATGACAGATATTATCGCCCGTGGAAATGATTCACACTCTATCATTAATTATACAATAATTCAACGGTTTTCATATATAATAGCCGGGGGATACGAAATAAAACTCAAGTTATTAAAATTCTCTTGGAATTCACTTAAACTTGCCAGATGTGAGTTTAACGTTTTCTGCAGTTTCAATTTCTGTCAGTCTTTAAGATTATATAACAGTTACGAACACGTGAAACCTCGGTTCTTTCAGCTTCATTTCGCTGAAGATTTTCGATCCAAATTTATCTTTATCGCTGCTGATGTATGTTTACGAAACACCCTATGCATATCATATCCCTATTTTAGGGAACAAAATAAACCAAAAAATATGAATATAAATCCGCCCCACGGTTTTATGAACACTTCCGCTTCGAATTTCGTTTATTGCAGACTCGTTGTTGGCTGTCAACAACGGGGCAACAACGGCTCTGTATTGCAAAATCCGTTCGTAAACATATCTCATTCAATATGCGTGGAAAAACGCGACTATGTGTATCGGACGGGCACGGAATTTGGTAACATTCTTTTATAATTTCCATTGTGTTGGGATTAAGTCCACAGATTTACTCGCCTGTCTGATCCAGGGGGGGATACTATAAAGATACACAATAACGATGAAATAAACCTAAAACAAGAATTAGTTCGAAATATATACATATAATTCGAAGTAAATTAACAAAATGACACATTATTGGTTTTGACTAATTACACAGGAAACGAATCATTTGCCACAATGAATTGTGTAGTAATTTATATAATTAACGATTTCGCTCTCTTACTTCAAAAGTGGTACAAACAAAAAACATAATTTCCGAGTTATTAATTATTATCATGAATGAGTTAAGTAAATATTATCCTATTAATGAAAAGTGAACTAATTTAACTTTATAAAACAATCATCACAACTAAAAAACAAGTAATTAAAAAAAAATCGTCGAAAAAATTCAAAAAGGAGAGAGAGTAGTTTAAAAATGATCACAATTTAAATAGTTTTTAATGGATTACGAAACAAAAATGACATTTCGTTCGCTTTTTGCCGACATAATTTTATTGATCCACAATTTCCGTCAAGTTGAAAAACAGTTTCTCCTCTCTTTTCTAAGAAACGTCAAATTTTTCAAATTGTATCACTTTCGAAGCAAAGAAGCGATATCTTTGAAGCAAAGAATTATCTTTCCCTAACATTCCACATGATTCTCAGAAACTAATATTTATGCGTTAGGATCATTCCAATGGTATCGCGTGAAAAGAATAAATCTATTATATCTGTGCGAGACATGACCCCGGCATCGCGAGGCGTGGCTGATCAATTTTCGTAAGGAGCTGCGTAGAAGCGACCCGCGTGTCATTGTCCTCGAGTTTTTCCGTGGTTCGGAAACAACTTTGAGAATCACTGTTCCAAACGACGCCGTGTCCCGCTGCCCCAACTCACATAAAACGCTCTTCCCTCGTGGCTTCCCTTATACGCGCTCACGCAGGAGCCCTCGGCGCCCTCGGCGCCCTCGGTGGTGCGTCAGGCTCGTGGGGACGCGTTCGTAGAGGAGTGGTAGAGAGAGAGCGTGGGTTCGCCGGCCGGAGCGTAAGCCGTAAACCGTAACGTGAATACGAGGGTGAAGAACACAGCAGGCGCGCCGGCGGTGAGTCGCACCGCACAGTCGAGCGTGAGACTTGCTCGGAGTCAGCTGTGTCGTTTCTCCATCCTCGTTTCTTCCGCGAGTTTTATTTTGCCGATCGCTACGTGTCCTCGTATAGGAATCCTCGTGACGGGATTGACGGGCGAAGGAATCGCAGGTGCGAAGTCGCGATCTCACCTTTTATTACCTAGAGAGCCTATACGCGCGTTCCTCGAGAAAATCGCGAGGAAAAAGGCGCGAGGCGAGCAAGAGAGAGAGTTTGTTCGGCGAAGAGCCGCCGATCGAGGGAGTCCCGCGATCCCAACGAGCGGCGCTCGCAGTTGCACGCGAGACGCCGTCGAGGTAGCTTCGTGCCCGAGCGAGATAACGTTTCTGCATGGCGAACGTCTTAACGTGTTTACGTGGAAACTTGATTTAATCGTCCCATCAGAGAGCTTGGCAATTATATACCGTTACGAAACGGCAAGACGCCCGGTGACAGCGGGGCAATTTTAACCTATCCGAGATAAGCGGTCAGTACGTGCTGTGTATACGTGTTACGTTACGTTATGTTTACACATATCTGTGATTATATTTTTTCGTTTCGTCCGGAGTTTATTTTGTGGTGTGAGGCGTCGTCGTCGCGGCGAGTGTCGATCTCACGATTGCTCGATAATATTATATATGGTTGCGGTCCGATTCACGCTCACCGAGTTCGTCAACACTGTTTGCCTTTGTTTGATAAACAAGGATGAAATGATTCTTGAGCGTACCGAGCAGGAATTCGCGACCGTGGCCGATTAAAGTTGCCAAGTAAGACGCGCGAGAAAATTGCTTTTGTTATACGCGCGGCAACGAGTTCTCCATTTTGAAGTTCAACGCGGACGATCCTCTCCGTAAACTCTTCACTTGACTGACGGCCGATTGTCTAATGGAGTCCCCGCACATACCGTTTTCTAGCGTTTCTGTAGATTGATCTTGGTTTAATTTACTTCTTACTTTTTTCTAATTCGGAAAGTTAGATAAAGATAAAATGTAAATTAACCCGAGGCTAAGGTTAATTTACATTGTAAAAGTGTCTGCCTTTTTTTTTTACCAATGTGGATTAACTGTAATCTCCGGTCAATTTGCTCTATCTGTTTCCACCTCTTTTTATCTTGTAATTTTTACAATTAGGACAAGATGAAAAAGCCGAGATTGAAAATAATCTACATTAGGCCTTCTTCTTCTTTAATTAATGGCTCTTCGCCTCCAAATACAATAGAAGGTCGATACGACCAGCTATACATTAGAAGTGCGTTCCGTTTCACACATGATGCGCATGATGCATAAATTATTCTTGTTTTCAGCGACAAAGATGAACGATGCACTATGCGCATCATACGAGAAACGGAACGCACCTTAGGCCTGTTTTTCATTCCTGCACTATCTGAACTTAGTGTACACAGAAATATAGCGGCGCTGCGAAGATTCGGTTCAAGAATACTGGACTCTATCTTTTCGATCTCTCTCTTCTGTTTATTTTATTTTCGACGAGTCCATCTTACCGATCAATATATGAAATAAATATATTAAGATGAGGCCAATGCGAGAAGTCGATCGGAAAAAACACGTCTCAATAATTCGTCCTGAAAATCGACTCGGTGACATATATATTTTTTTCTCCAAAGTTTATCGGATACACGCGTCACGGAATACGTCGAACGGGGCGCACAAGGATTTTGCAATCTGTTCGGGGAGAGCAACTGCCGAATAGATCGATTTGCGATTATCGGCTTGGCCTGTCGCCAAATTCGCAATTCATATATCCACGTGGAAGCGGTCGATTTCTAATCGTAAACTTTCGATTCACGCCCGGTGAATATCACGGAGGGAAATCAATCGGCCGAGTTAACCGCCTGAAATTCGCGTCAGGGCTCGCTCGATTACGAAATTTCGCGAGTGGAACTTCTTCGGGCGCTATAACTTCTCGCTAACTTCATTCGAAAATTCCAGACGAAACCGGAGTTTTTCAATTCCTTTTTGGATTCGAGCGCCGGTAAACTTAATTTTCTCGACTGTCTCTTCTTTTGAAAACAAAATCTACTACCTTTTTATCGAGATCGAGACAGACAGAGAGAGAGTTCAAGAGAATATTTTATAGCGACGAATCGAAACGGTGTTGAATCTTAAAAAAAACCCCCGATTATTAATTGTTGTTTCTATGATTCAGGGTGATTCCGAACGTTTTTCAACTCTTTTAGTTAAATAAAATATTTCTTTCGCCAATTCGTAGCAAGATTGACGTTTGAATAATAATTCGAATCGTTGAATGTCGAACGAGCGGGAAAGTATAGAATAATAATTTCATACAAAGAGAGGGACGCGCGCCGCCGGTTGAAAGACACTGGCCGAAACGCGCGTAAAGGGGGAATGTCCTTTTTTTTACTACGCACCGCGTCTGTGCCCTTGAACAGGCTAAGGAAGAGGGAACTCAGCCGGCGTTTACATGTCATATATATACATATACAGGACGATTCACCGTTCGGCGACTTCGTGGAAGAAGCAGTGACGCAACTCGCTCTCATTCAGGAGAGGAAGGAAAAGTCCGCGATGACGGAGTAACGGCGCGCGGTTTCAAGTCACCTCTCGCCTAGCTTCACCTTCGTCTCTCGCCCTTTTCGTCCCCGCCGCCTCGCTATCCGAGCGCGTGTGCGCGCGCGATATCACGAGCGGACGTATGTTACGATGGTGTGCGTGAGATCGCGCGTGCGGATCGTTCGCGAACTTGGTGACAGCCTGTAGCTCGTCCTCCGTTGCGCGGCAATAAGCAGCTGGTGGTGGTGCTCGCGCGCACGCACACACGGGAGCCGGGAGAAGAAGAGAAGCCGGAAGAAAAGAGATCCGTTTTCCTGACTACTTGGACTGACGATGCGGTCCTTTGGGAAGTCGTCGTCGTGCCGATGGGCCATCAGCGAAATGGGTGAGTACGGCGAGCGTTATCGTACAAAGACGACCGTTCCCCGGGAATCTTGGGACGCGTCGCGTCGTCACCATTTTTCGAAATGAATTTCGCATCGGACGCCTCCGGCTGAAAGTTTGCATAGAAACTTTGTGTTGTCCAGATTTAGCATAACGTTTTCCATTGTTGAATTCTGCGCGTTTTGTGAATAAGTCTTGAAAGCGTTTTAAATGTACGGAAAGAATAATTTTGTAGAAATATTTGGAAGCTTAGTTAAATACAGTTTTGAAAACAATTGTTTTGTTAGGTTATCTAAATACAACAGCAATTATATGTGTCGGGAACAAAAATATGCGCAATGCTCTACGAAATGTTGATATTCTGGCAACTCAGCTTGAACGTCCTATATAATTATTTTGATAATTCAACAAAATTATGTTTAAATATGTGTCTATAGTTAAGTTTTTACTTCTGCAAAATCTATCTTTTCGTGTGAATATTTATGTGTTATTGTAAAAGCTAAATTGATATAATTTAATTAGGAAAATTAAGGAATATATTTAATATAACAAATAATCTGATCTAAGAATATAATTTTTACTTGAAAAAACTCGTGAAAAAAATATTGATTTATTTTATCTTGTAGTTTGATGAATTACATTTTTCAGTAAGATTTAGATTAATGTCTAGAACGAGATCTAGAATCTGACTGAATATTTTTCAAAAATAAGCTTAGGATCTATGATCAATCCGATTTATATTACTCACGAATATATAATAGCTTTATTTATATACATCTGCACATCTGCTTTGCAGACGTACATCATAAATAATAAACAGGTGGATATACAGGTATAAGTATGTACGATTTGAAAGCAAATTCTATTTGTCATTACAAACTCCATGCACTGTTTAATAAGAAGTAAGGACTGAATATAAATGTACACTGAGAGGAAAAAAATAGTTTTGACAACTGTAAATAAACAACTCTAAAATTTAAGTCTTTACAACTAGTTTTTACAAAATAAATAAATTAGAAAATAAAGGACTCTTTATGTAAAAATAATTAAGCATAGATGAAGGACGATTAGAGTCAAATCATAAAATGAAAACAATAAAGCGGTTATAACATTAAGTATGTAATAAAATTTTTGAAAAAATACATCAAACTAAAACAATATATTTTGCCGCTTATAACATAAATTTAATTAAAAAATTGAAATTACGCTACGCAACCAGTTTCGACTCTTGGATCGAATCATCTTCAGGCATTTCAAAAAATTCCGTTTATGCAGTTTAATTCGATAAAATATTAACTCCTCGATTTCTCCATTTACTACGTGATATTGGCAGCAAACGATGGAAAAATCGTATACTAACCAATATATCTGTAATTTTAACATAAAGTTGACAAGCATCTATCGAGAAAACTTTGTCAAATTTATGTAATTATTTTTTTTATTAAATTTATGTTATAAGCGGCAAAATATATTGTTTTAGTTTGATGTATTTTTTCAAAAATTTTATTACATACTTAATATTATAACCGCTTTATTATTTTCATTTTATGATTTGACTTTAATCGTCCTTCATCTATGCTTAATTTTATTTTTACAAAATAGTAAGAACTAAAGGAGTACTGAGTATTATATTTTTATAGTATTCAGTACTATTTTAGTTCTAGAACTTTTGTAAAATTTGTCGCAAAGACTTAAATTTTAGAGTTGTTAATTTATAGTTGTGCCAAAACTATTATAGTTTTTTTTCTCTCAGATGTTTGTCGTAAGGAAGTTTATAATTTATTTATGCATTATTAACTCATATATAGAGTATTAAGAATTTTGTTGCGAAAAAGTGAAAAATTCTAGAATTCGTACGTCCTCCATATTTTATGCATTTGCGTAAAATACAGAGACTATAACATTTAACTAAAAATCAAGGAATGCATTGTTCATTGCACTTAATTCAGAAAGAGAAACGCGTTTCTTTCTCTCTCTCTCTCTCTCTCTCTTTAAAATCGAATTGACGATAAGAGAGAAGTGTGCGCTTTCGTATAAGAAAAATGGCACGTGTACAACGTGTACAATTCACGTGTGATTAAATGGAAACCTGGAATCCACTGTCTTCCACGTTGATAAATCGCATCTTCGGAATGAGAGCGGCTCTCAAAAAGATGCTCCAAGACCGCAGAGCATTTTGCGATCAATGCACGGAGGAGGACAATAAATAATACAATGGAAGAGTAACACGATATCCGGAAAATTGATTTTTTCTAGTTGTCGAGGTAAAATGATAAAGCCGGAAGTAATACTCTTTTTCTCGTGTGCTCTCTTCCGTCTCTCTACAGGTAACACTCTCCTATAATACCCTACCTCAGCTGCGTGCTCCACTTCCGTACGGAATTTTTCAGCGACTTACTTTTCGCGACATTTCATTAATAAGATAAAATGGAACATCACGAGGATTCTTAAACGTATACCTTGTACCTTCCTGTGCGCCGCCGCCGCTGTTATTCCGCGTCGTGGAGACAGGCGGTATCAAGGTAGATAATTTCAACAAATGAATTTCGCACGACGTCAGTTTAATGACATGCTTCCGTTAATAATTTCGTTGCGGAAACACGATTTTCGCTTCTCCGTACAGGCGGAGATGATAAACACATTTAATTTCGATCCCGCCGTAAACTAGATGTTCTGACAGACACGCCGCCGGTCTCTCTCTCTCATTCCGGAGGTACGAAATGCCTCGAATTGTTTCCACTGACGTAACGAGATTGCGTCAACCGTTGCGTACCTCGATCGCGAGCGCCCAAGTCGATGGGAGCCGCGCACGTAGATGACGTGCCCGCCGACTTGGGGCGAAGTTACGTTGTAATCTTCTTACACCGCGGAGAAACGTCGGAACTTGGACGCGTCGGTCGCGTCAATAAACCATTAGCGCGAACGTAAACTAAAAGCCATATCCTAAGGAAACTGCACGTCGCGGCCGTGCCGTTAAAAGCGCTTTTTCCCCGCTCCCGAATTTCGCGTGTTCGTGAGAGGAAAAATCCTCCCTGTGTGCCCCCTTGAGTTCTGAAACTGCTTCGATTATTTAGTAGCACAATCGGTGAGTGGCCGTATTTTGCCACGAAACGCAAGCTATTCTTGACGTTGTCTCTCAGAACTATTAGAGATAAAATTTATTATTTATTATCCCGTACCGTTAAATTTATAATGTTAGATTAGATTTTACGTCCAATTCGAGTCGTGTATTTTTATTCATTTTTATTCGTCACTCCCACTGCTCTTCAATTTAATTATAACAATTTATAATAATTTTTTTTAATGTATTAAATTTGACTCATTTAATTTAATATTCATTGAGTACGTTTATTAATATTAAGACTAATCACGGAAATAAATTAATTGATTTAGACTTTGATACACTTAGAAGTTAAAAATAACAAATGTTATTTAATTTAAGAGATTGAGTTGTTATATTGCTTCTTCGATACCTATCAATGTGTAAATACACTTAAGTTCTTTTTTTATCTGTCCTTTTTGTTACCGCATGAAAGCGCGAAATTAATTGATCGAAATATAAATTTATAATCAAACGATTACTCTTTCCAAACAAACTTGGCGATATTAATTCTGCATGAAATATAGATTTGATTTAGCTTATATACACGAATAGAATTAATGATTTAATATTAATACTCTTTATCTTTCCAAACAAACTTGGCGATATTAATTCTGCATGAAATATAGATTTGATTTAGCTTATATACACAAATAGAATTAATGATTTAATATTAATACTCTTTATCCTTAAAATGTACTCTGGACTACATATCTCAAATTTAAATTTAGCAAAGTACGAGTAAAGAGTGTAAATTAACGAGAATATTATGTAGAATTTTACAGAAAGAGAGATTACATCAAAAGCAACATTCTTAAAATGAGTTTAAATTGGCTTCACTATTCGTTCTTTTCATCTGTCATCTTAAGTAGTTTAATAATTAAGTCATAAATTACTCGATGTTCTCTATAGTCGATTCTAACAAAATTGTTTCAGGAAATCCGGAAGTTAATTGAGGAATCATTTACGGCCGGAATGTTACTCCGGAACTTTTGTTATCTCTTCATGAACTTAAAATGATGAACATTTCCAGTTTTAAAATGTAAAATAGTTTCATCTGGTAGTTGAAATGTCACCAACGTGAAATAATTCATGATTCATGATGATCAAGAAGTATGAAACTTGTATTTATACTTTTATGTTTCTTTAAATAACATTATTATTTACTATATAAATTCATCTAAAAAGATCTAAAATGTATAATTGGTTAAAAAAAAAGTTACATCCAGTATATTGAAAACTTTAAATATCACAAAACAAACTATCGTTTAAAACAAAATGACACGAGATTTTCAGTTTTATTTAATTTTCACATTTCTCTACACACATATGCGTTGAATACGTTCAACCGTAACTAACTTGCACATCGCGTGTAATCATAGGAGTAAAAGAAATAGAAATTTGCACTTCAATACGATGTCAGCATATAATTATTGCGAGAAATTCTTATTTAATTCTCGACAAACAGCAGATATATTTTTATAGCTATAATTTACACATTAAAAATACGTCTGATATCTTTTTCTCTAAGATCTTTACTGTATTTACACTTTCATCACGAATTTATTTTTTGCTTTCAAATATAAACTACTTTAATTACTCGGAGAAAATAGTGATAATATTTTAGCGCGAACTAATTTTACGAGTTACATTCTATTTATCAATATTTAATTATTTGATCGTCAAAAATATCTATATTTATAGATTTCTATATATATTTATAAGTATGTTACATTCACCATACGTATAAACGTCTATATATTCTACCGCCGTTTTCAGAAAATGGTTAAAAGATTGTGATGGACTGGTGTCGCAAAATTGGTTATTTCAGTTGTTTGCCATAGAGAAAATTGAAAAAGTTACGCTCCGAGGCGGTGCAGCCATAAAATCGCACACGTTAA